CCCCCGCCACCTTTGACTACAGCACCTACCACACCTTGGATGAGGTGAGAAAGTGCGAGATTTGGGGCGTGTTGAGGGGAAAAAGCTGCATCCTGGAATTGTTCTTGCAAAGCCCTTTGCTCCATGTGCAGCGAGGGCAGGGGGGGAGCTGGGGGTGACCCCCCCTTTGTCCCTCTCCCTCAGATCAACGAGTTCATAGACCTGCTGGTGGCTGAAAACCCTGACCTGGGCAGCAAGCTGGAGATCGGCCAGTCGACGGCCCTCTATGTGCTCAAGGTGAAGATTTGGGGTTCGTGGGGTGACCAGAGTGGGGAGCGAGGCCAGGGGCAAAGCCAACCCCCCTCCCTCTGCTCTTCCAGTTCAGCAAAGGGGGGACGAACCGCCCGGCCGTCTGGATCGACACCGGCATCCACTCCCGCGAATGGGTGACGCAAGCCAGCGGCGTCTGGTTCGCCAAGAAGGTATGGGCACCTCCCGGACATGTCTGATGTCCCCAGAGGGCCACGAGGTCCTGCGAGCACCGCAGATGCCAGCTGGCTGACCCCACGGAGGGGACGATGATCCAGCAGCGCCAGGAAACCCCAAATCACCATCCTCTCTAGATTGTCCTGGATTATGAGAATGGTGAAGGTCTGGCCTCCGTCCTGGATGAGTTGGACATCTTCCTGGAGATAGTCACCAACCCAGATGGCTTTGCCTTCACCCAAACCCAGGTACCACCCCGGCTTTCCTCTCCCTGGCTCCTATGGCCACGCTGGATGGAGCAGGATTGGGGTGCTGCACATGGAGGCCTCTGAAAGCTCAAATCCTCCTTGTCTCCATTTCCACGGGGTGGGGAAGAGGACCACCATGACTCAATAGACACTCCAGACGACAGTACCCTGTCTGCTGGAGGCTAGTGGAGCTCTGGCCCTGGACACCAGCTGATACGGCTCTGCCCTTCCAGAACCGCTTGTGGCGCAAGACCAGGTCCAAGCACACGAGCTCCATTTGCGTCGGTGTGGACCCCAACCGCAACTGGGACTCGGGTTTTGGAGGTCAGAGCTCTCCCATTCACCCTGCGGGGGGGTTTCCACCCTCCAGGTAGAGGCTCTGAGGCCATTTCTGGCTCTGAACCATCCAATGATGTCCCCTGGGGAAGAGGTGGGATTCGCTCTCCATGGCAGACACGTGGGTTTGGGCTCTACCAGGGCTTTGATGTCCCCTAGTGATCAGCACAGTAGAGACCACAAATGAAAGTCATCACACGAATGTCTTGGAGGAGCCCCGAGAGGGTTCCTCACTGGCCACTGACCAGCTGAGGGGTGGGAAAAGCTCTTCCGCTTGGATACGGAAAAGGCCCTTTGCCCTTGTCACTCTCTGAGCCACCCAGCTGCCACCAAAGCCACAAACACACTGTGTTTTTCCACCTCCACAGAGGCCGGGGCCAGCTCGAACCCCTGCTCGCAGACGTACCGCGGACCCTACGCCAACTCGGAGCCTGAGGTGAAGGCCATCGTGGACTTCGTGAAGAACCACGGGAACATCAAGGCTTTCATCTCCATCCACAGCTACTCCCAGCTCCTGCTCTACCCCTACGGCCACACCAGCACCCCAGCACCTGACCAGGAGGAACTGGTAGGGCTGATGGGGAGGTTTGAAGGGGCCGGGACGATATGAGGCTGCTCTCCTCCTCCAAGGAGGAGCAACCTCCACCCTGCACCACGAAGCGAGTATCGGCAAACCGGGAAAAAGCCCTGGCTCCTCTGGGACTGCCCCAGGCCAAGGCTGTTGAGCTTTGGCATCGTTTTTGCCTTTAGCACAAGCGTAAAATCTCACCCACAGCCTTTCCCCTTCTCATCTTTTTCCGTTCTGCGTATTCCCAGGACGAGATTTCAGCCAGCGCGGTTGCAGCTCTGTCTTCTCTGTACGGCACGAGCTACGAGTACGGCAGCATTTACACCACCATCTGTAAGTAACGGGGGGGCAGCAGTGGTTCCCCCCAAAACAAACCCAAACCATCCCTCGTGCCTCAGAAAGGGTCCCGTGAAAACACCCGTACGACGCAGCGCCATTAATGTCTTGCGTCCCTCCTGTGAAGTGTCCAAGGCCAGGTTGGATGAGGCTTTGGGCAACCTGGTGTAGTGGAGGGTGTCCCTGCCCATGGCAGGGGGGTTGGAACTGGATGATTGTTGAGGTCCCTTCCAACCCAACCCATTCCACGATTCTGTGATTTCCTCCCTCAGATCAAGCCAGCGGATCATCTGTTGACTGGGCGTACGACCAGGGCATCAAGTACTCCTTCACCTTCGAGCTGCGGGACACGGGGAGCTACGGGTTCCTTCTTCCTGCCGAGCAGATCATCCCCACCGCCGAGGAGACGTGGCTGGCGCTGAAGGTCATCATACTGTACACGCGGGATCACCTCTACTAACCGGGATCGGGGGCTGAGTGACGGTTTAATTAGCTGGGGGGGGAAGCAATAAATAAATGTAAAGAAGCTTGAGAAATGCCTTTTGTTGTTTTCCCTCTTTTCAATCGCCGTGAAAAAGCTTTTTTCGGGGACTGGCTCAGCTCCTGGGGGTGCACACGGCAGCAGCCAACAAAAACAGCGCGCGCCGAAAAGGCTCAGCGGCCCGAAAAGGGCATTAAAAGGGCATGAAAATAGCGGGACATGAAAGGAAGGTGCTTGTTTTCCCTCTGGTTTGGCAGAGGGTGGAAGGGGAAGAGGTTCAGTCTGATGCTTACTGGGCTAAGCGGAGACCTCGGACACCGCGGCTGTGCTTGGCAAGAGGGGTGCCCACCTTCTCCAGCTCTCCTGGGGGCTGGGGTGGCTCTGGGACATGAGGCAATTGGGTTGGGGGGATGTATGCTGCGTGTTTTTGTGGTTGAGCTCCAACTTGCAGAGCTGGTAGAAAGGTCCCTCCACACCCGGTGCAATCCCATGGGGAGGGGGGGCCAAGCCCCTGCTGACTGCTGGCTTCCGCAGGTGTCGCTCCGCTCTCCGTTAGCTGTGAAAGTTCAAACTGAAAAGAAGTTCTCAACCATGTGGTGTCATTTACTTTTTATTAAATTAAACAACTCAATCTCCCAGACTCCAGAGTTTGATTCCATCCTCCGAACAATACCAAGTCAAAACTCCAGAACTACACAAATCCATCAAGATGATGAGAAAGTACATTGAGTTCTTCCTCGGATGCCCTGGATTTGGAGGATCTCAAACAACTTGAACTAGTTTCATCCTTCCATTTCAGAAGGAGGTTTTCATGCAGCCCAGAGCAGCCAGGGATTTTGGATCTGTCTCCCACAGCTGGATAACAAAATCAGGACTTTAAGCCAACACAATGACCACTGCTCTCATCTCCGTTTTCAGACAGATGCATTTTATACACTTCCAAGTGCTCACGGAGCTGAAAGATCTCCCACTTGTACACTGGTGGGACCTTTCATGCTGTACTGGTTCCTGTCTTTCAAGCCCATAATAAATGTGTCTCTTGGCTCTCACCTCTCCTGCCCATGTTCAGCTAAATCAATCAAGTACCATCATTTTTCAGACAACCAGCCTGGGTGAGTCACCGACTGAATTACGCAGGAGATGCCGCTCCATTCCATACTTTTACTTCATGACGACACAAAAACAGAGGTGCTGTGCAAGAAGGAGCAGCTGACTCAGGACATGGAGATCAGACTATTATAGGTTCAAAGCTAAACGTGGCGTTTTTGCAACACTTCTGTACCAAACTCCTCTGAAAGTTTTATTTAGCTCTTATTTATTTTATTAGGCCACCTAAAAGCATCGCCGCTCCCTAACGAAAGCCTCAAGAGCGAAGTCAGCTTCCCAAGGCTGTGAGTGAAGAAGATTGTGGACAAGAAGCAGGTCCTTGTGGCTCCTGTTTTGGGCCATTTAAAAACCACTTTTCTCTCTAGAGGTGATGCCGTTGTTCCACGGAAAGCCAACTGGTCTGACCTAGGAGGACAAGCTACATCGTTGAAAATAAATACACCAACTAAATCAAGAAGTTGCCTTCCAGAAGGTCAAGTAGGAAGGTAAGAAAGCAGAGATGGTGAGATGCATCCAGCTTCCTAAGCATGGGCTGAAAGACCACCTTTGATTCTTTGATCTTTGTACCTGACCAGCCCAACTCTTACAGTACCTACGTCCACACACACCCGCTATGGAAACCCAGGACACATGCCATCCTTAGTGGATGGGTTGGAAGGGCAGTTTGTACAAATTAGAGCCTGGTTTGTACAACCTAAAGGATCCAAGGACTTCCTTGGGAAGCTGGGAGCTTTAAGTCACCCTCCTGTAATCGGATTTTGTTACACATGAAAATACAGATGTGCATCTGAACACATTGCAAGAGCGTTCAGCTCTTTGAAGTGCTTTGTCCAGTGCATTTTAAACGCTGGCTCTGCCCTATGGCTCTTGATTCCTCCCCTTATTCTCCCGCTGAGGAATCCTGACACAGCATCAGAGGTTTGTGCTGATCATAGAATCATAGAATGGTTAGGGCTGGAAGGGACCTTCAAAGGTCATCTAGTCCAACCCCCCTGCAAGGAACAGGGATATCTCCAACTAGATCAGGTTGCTCAGGGCCTCATCCAACCTGGCCTTGAACGTCACCAGGGATGGAGCATCCACCACCTCTCTGGGCAACCTGTTCCAGTGTTCTACAACTCAAGAGTGATCATCTCACTCTTCTCTGGAGAAGACAGAGGTTATGGTTCTCATCAGAATCACGCCAACCCCCCTGCAAGGAACAGGGATATCTCCAACTAGATCAGGTTGCTCAGGGCCTCATCCAACCTGGCCTTGAACGTCACCAGGGATGGAGCATCCACCACCTCTCTGGGCAACCTGTTCCAGTGTTCTACAACTCAAGAGTGATCATCTCACTCTTCTCTGGAGAAGACAGAGGTTATGGTTCTCATCAGAATCATGGAATCACAAAATGGTTTGGGTTGGAAGGGACCTCAGAGATCACCCAGCTCCAAGCCCCCTGCCACGGGCAGGGACACCCTCCACTACACCAGGTTGCCTGGTGAGACTGCTAGTCCCTGTATCAGCATTCCTCTGATTTAAGAATCATGGAGACACGATAAATGTAATAAACGTGCTCAGGGATGCTGAGTCTTAAACCGTCAAACTGGAAACGATGTGCAACTTCTTTCACCAGAATTATCCCCTGATGATCTGCGCCACTGGTGAGTTTTGGGGTCTGTTGAAGATTACTTGTGTACTTCAAAACAAGGACGGAAAAAATCCCCACCAAAACCCAAAAAGCCACACACAAAACCCACAAAGACCAAGAAGCCACAGCTGGAGCAAGCAGAGCAACACCGTAGGCAAAGGCTAGAGAGCAGGATCTCTCCGTAGCCACCCACGAGGTCTCTGGTAGGCAACTCCGCTTTGCCACCGGGTAGTTTCAGATTATTTCTGGCTCACCCAGGCAATACTGCTACGGTGGAAGCACCGAAACTCATCTCCTAGGAAATCTTCACGCCCTGTTCAGTTACTCTGGTGAAAAGGCAGAGGAAAGTTTCCCTTCTGCCAACCTAACCTTAAAGAAACCACTCTGAAAACACTGGCAAGGGCACATCTGGGAATAAATTCCCAGCCCCGTCAGGCACTGGAACTGCAGAGCTCTTCGCTGCTCTGCTGAAGAACACAGTTTGCCTCTAAGTACCACTAAATCATTTTACGAAGCAAAATGACCTTCTGCCTCGTAACCTCGACTGGCAGCTGCCTGGATGATGGGCAGGGAAGTTGGCTTTGCCAACAGAAGAATGACTGGCCCTTCCATGTACCTCGTAGTCTTCTGCAGCTCCAGTGACCGGCAACCTGCTCCGGCAAGTCGGAAAAGGAGTAAATCACCGGTGCACAGTCGAACCGAGGAGCCACTTTGTCTGCACAACAAAAAGAGGGGCACAGCAGATGATTTTGCCCTAAGACATGCCAGCTAAAACCCTGCTCAGCACATCTGGCAGCCTCACTCTCTCATTTAGAACCAAAGCCACCACCCAGCAGCAATCTGTAACCACAGCAAGGGACAAAGCAGAAAGAGCACAGATAGAAGCCGAACGTTCTAGAAATAAGGGAGAAAAGAGCGAAAACAGTTATTTTCTCCTTCAGCTCACCTTTAAAAATACAGAACTGTTTCACAAACCATCCATGAGACTACATGACTGTCACGTCACAGTGCCACGCTGGGCATTATGTTCAAAAACATCTTTATTACAAATACTTCTGTTCATTAACATTTTTTTAAAAAAAAAAACAAAACACCTTATGGAATCTTCTCCAACATTTTGGCAGGTTGCTGAATGTCTGTACCTCTGCTACAAAACACCAAGCATTTTGCTCACAGATGATTTCTGGCCCGTTTACCTTCACACGTGTTCTCCTGCTCACAGAGTCTGCGGTTCCGGGCACAGCACGAGAGTTTCAGACACAAATTCCTTCGTGTGAACTACCAGCTGGGCAGAACTGTTTCTACTGGTCATAGGCTTTACTACCAGTTTCCTCCCTCCTGTACAAAACCAGTTACATCGACTCTGCCCTGACCCTGTACCTAAAGGTCAGCCTTCCCAACACGATACCAT